AGCTTGTTAATCAACAAGTTAAAAAGTTTGTACACTTGAAATTTATAATGCAGAAACAATTGAAAGGTTGTTAAAGACTAAATATCAATGTTTTTGGTATAAATATGATTATTGTCAGTAAAGCTGACAAGTATAGTATATTTTCTATTTGCTATCATCTTCCCAAAGAGTGTTGCCAGGTTTGGTCTATCGTAACAATAGGCATCAGGGACATCATTTGGGTAGGGCAGGGGGCATTTGGCCCCACCCCGTAATCTGCAGTTTTTAAAAAAAAATTGGTTATATGCTGTGGCGCCTCCAGTAATAAACAACATAACAAGCCGACCAAGTGTTTGTTTTGACCCCCTACCAAACCCCTGAAAAAAATATGAAATGACGCCCCTGATGGGCATAGTCAATAGTAGCTGATTGATCATTTTTACCTTGCGGCACTGATATACCAGACAAGTCAACATCATCCTCATCTAACCATTCAGCACTTAAAATAGAAGCATTGTCGGTCTGAGCAATAATTGCCATAAGCTCTTTCTATCTCCTTTCTATCACCTTGCAGCTACTCGCATTGGTCGAATCCTTTTTTTGTTGAGAAGCATTTGCTAATTTCTTATGCTCAAGAGGGCATTGTCGGTTCTGCTGAACATGCTTTTTCAACATGACTAGTCATGCAAAAAAGATGTTACAGATTTTTGCAAATCCGTACAAGTGGCGACGTTATCATTGTTACTCTCATTGCATTCATCTAATTCTCAAAATATCGTATTCCTTCTCTATCAATATCATTTATCTTGACTGCACATGACACTTTGAACCTTGTTCCATACCTGCAATAGAATCTACAGCTGAAGAGAGTCCAACTCTTGACTTCTTTTGCATTAACAAAGTGTACTAACATTCTGACGAGTCATCTGCAGTGCACAGACACACATTAAATAAATCTCATATTGTTAAAAGCCCTAAAAATTATATGACCATTTACACTTATAAATTTTTTAAACTATGCAATAACCAGTCAATTTTTAAGATTAAAATGTTAATAGAGAAACAAGATTGTTGACGTCAACTGACCTAAACCCCCTCCCTTGTCAACAACTGTCAAACATTTCCAAACCCCCTCCCGCCCCGCTTATTTTTTTTTTTTTTGACGTAATTAATGGATGCCCCCTTCTCAGCGATGGTGTTTGAGACCCTAATTGCCTGTGACAGGAATGAGTTAATAGTTATCATGACTGAAAACTGGAAACATTATTTAGTCATTTAAAAAGGAATAAAACCCGATTTGAATTGGACTAGGACATATTTGGTAGCTTTATACATCTAGGACAGATTTGGTAGCTTTATACCTCTAGGACAGATTTGGTAGCTTTATACCTCTAGGACAGATTTGGTAGCTTTATACCTCTAGGATAGATTTGGTAGCTTTATACCTCTAGGATAGATTTGGTAGCTTTATACCTCTAGGATAGATTTGGTAGCTTTATACCTCTAGGATATATTTGGTAGCTTTATACCTCTAGGGTAGATTTGGTAGCTTTATACCTCTAGGATAGATTTGGTAGCTTTATACCTATATGATAGATTTGGTAGCTTTATACCTTTGAAACCTGGATTTAAAATATGTAGGCGAATTCCGACGTTCAAGGCATGAATGATTTATTCTCTACTTTCAAAGTGAAAAGGAAGGACTTTTTTAAGACTCACCTAAAAATAGGTCAGTTGTTCAACTCGTGGCAATAAAATGATAAGCAGTAAAACAAAAAAAAAAACACACAAAATAAACAGTATTATTATCATAATGAAGTCTGATTATGTTGACATGTGTACCCAAGGCCTCCAATATGCTATATTATCACTGCTAATGCTAATATTTTTAGTGTTAAAAAGATGTTATGTTAGTGGGATGCATAATTAAAATGTTACAACTTTGCCCTATTAGATAAATGATTTCATAAATAACATTTATAAAGAAATTTCTGTGTTCTTACTTATTTTAATACAATTTTAATTGAAAAAATAACGTGTCATTAAAGAAAAATAATGTTAAATCATGAATAAAATGTATTTTGAAAACATAGTAAATAATAGAAAGCAAACTCAATTATATTTTACTTCATCTTTAACATTCTTTTTGAAATAGTGATTGCTAAAAATAAAATAAAGAATAAGATATTCATTAATTTTAAAATGTAACTTAAAAACAAGAGATCACTTTTAACTTGGTTGATGCGGAGGGAAGCAGTGTGTAGCTGGAGAAAAAAAAATCAGCTGCCAAATGATGATAAGCAAAGAAGAGTGGATAAATAAACATAAAAGTTAAAGAAATGCATGTCAACAGGATCTTAACGAGAATGAGGTGGGGTGGAGTGTGGAGAAAGCAAAATAAGAGTACATTCTTTATTCCATGGGTCCCAGATGTGTGTTGAAATCTACTCTCCAACGCCACTGAGGGTGGTGTGTTGGTGGAGGAAACGATGGCGGTAATATCAGTTGGGGGCATTATGGGTTCTTTTTGTTGAAGTGAGATGAGGCAGTTTTATTCCATGTTGGTAAGGACATTGATCAATGTATAAGACAGTCGTCGCCCAGTCACTTATCAGATGATGACGAATAAAAGCTTAGATCAACAGTGCAGAAGATAGTTTGATATTTTGAAGTTTACCCTTAGTAACGTAATTTGGTCCAGTTTACTTTCCACAGAGTACACAAGCCTGTTTGAATTTTAAATCTAATGTTAAGAGACCGTCCTAATTGCAGGCATTCAAACAAATAAGACGATTGACATGATCCCCAACAACGTTGATTGACATGATCCCCAACAACGTTGATTGCCATGATCCCCAACAACGTTGATTGACATGATCCCCAACAACGTTGATTGACATGATCCCCAACAACGTTGATTGACATGATCCCCAACAACGTTGATTGACATGATCCCCAACAACGTTGATTGACATGATCCCCAACAACGTTGATTGACATGATCCCCAACAACGTTGATTGACATGATCCCCAACAACGTTGATTGACATGATCCCCAACAACGTTAAGTATCAACAAACAAAAACTGCTTATAATGCAGAGATAAAACTTGTTATTTATTTTAAAATAAAGTGTTTAGAAGTTAATAATAAATTATTTAATGTTTGTTAATAAGGCACTCCAATAAATAGAATATCGGGATAAAGGATAAAATATAGGTTCAAGCATAGAGAATTTTTAAAAAGCCATTTAGAATTGAATCATAAAATAACAATACAGAATACATTGCATCATATTTGTTAACAAAAGCCTAAAAGGCAAATGATAGTAAAGGTTTATGATTTTCAGAAAATAAATAACTCAACTCCAAAATACAGTTTGAAATTGTGTCGATAGGGAAATGTTAACAATATACAGGTAAGAATATACGTCTTCTAATAACTCAACAAAAAAATTTGAAAAAATCTTGAGAAATAATAATGCTGCACATATATTAGCAATGAAAGTTTTGGTAACTTCAGGATGACAGGGAATGTGTTTGAAGATAAAGGAGGGAAAAAACGGCTGCCAGGCGAAAATCAATGTGTGAATTTATAGACAGGAAATAATGACATAGAGTAGTAGAAAGATGGGGATACACTTGAGACAGGAAAGTAAATGGCCCAAATAGAGGAAGACACACTATCTCAAAGAGGACCTGACCCATTCATCTAGCAACTGATTCTAAATGAAAACAAAGATATCATTTTGGCCACATAAAGACCTGAACACTGCAGAACTGATAAATCTAAGTAAAAATCGAACTGCAGTGACAGCATAGCCAGAATTTTAAAAAACTTGAAACGTATAGACTAGTAGACATACTGATAGTCAAAGTTGATTCCGCCAGATCTTACATTAATTACTAATAGCTGATGTCTCCTTGAGAAATGCTATGACTAAAAGTTCTGAATACACTAACTTTACAAGATTTGCAGAATGGGCTTATGATAGTGTAGACAAGAGATATTTGTAGGAAGCTCCACAGTCCCCAACAAACTAAGCCAACTTATATACAATCTTCAAGTCCAAAAGTAGAATTAAAGTACAGGGAGACTAGTCGAGGGAGTTCCAGTTTTAGACAGGGACTCCGACAATAAGTCTCACAGCATATAACCTGCTTAAGATCAAGCTAAAAAAATTAAGTAAAATATACACATACAAGTGAAGCTATTATAAATTCCTGGGAAAAATTACAGAGCCACAATAAAAAACATTATATATCAAACCATTGCAGAACCTATGATATGTAGATGACTTAGCTCTACTTGTAAGACATTCTAAAAGGTTTTAATTTTAATTAACTCGAAAATTCCTCAAATTAATGCTGGATTAGATGTAAATGCATCAAAGACCAAATACATGGTTAATGCATTGTAACAGATATGATATCAAGAAATAAAAACACACATTTTAAGAGTGTGGAGTGTTTTAAATACCCAGGATCTACCATCAATGAGGTTTTGAAATAACTCGATGAAAAGGAATATTATAAGGGTTTAAAACAAAACAAGACCCCATAAAATAAAAAAAAACATTTTAATATAAAAATGGCACCAAATATTTTTTGAGTAGCAAGTTTGTCAGATCTTATCACTTCAGCTTCATAACAGGGATTTTATTTGAGTCAATTTGAAGCAAAAACGTCTCAAGGGAAACACATAAAACTGAATTAACTGGAATATTTAAACCAGTAGTTCAAAACCTGTTCAAACCACAGGGAATCATCAGAATGACATTAGATCTATGCAGGAGAATAAAAATTGTAGCTAGGAATAAGTTAGGAAATACATCAGTTGTTCAAGGACTTAAATGAACTTCTCAAGAGGATGAAAAATCATAATGAATATCGATGGCTCACCAGCAGAAACTAATGGGCAGATGGCTCAACACTGAGATGGACAGATGATGTGGAGAGAATTTACAAAAGCCGCCAGAGTGGATGGATATGGTGACGCAGACCAGAGCGCTCCTCTGGTAACAACATGATGAACTTTCGCAGAGACATCATAGCATTAAGTAGTGATAAGAAATTTAATCTGTAGATCAGATATAATGGCTCTAGGAATTATAAATATAGGGTCACATTGTAAATTTGTAGTTGATTTATTCATAAATAAATTGAACTTATGCAATCAAAATTATTTTAAAATTTAAAACCTCACAGAATATAATAACTGTTTTTAAAGAAAATATTTGTTGTTATAATGCAGAACAATATGAAGAAAAAGCCTTTCCCCAGGTACCCCAAACATGATAAAACTATAAAACTTCAGCAAATATTTAAAAAAAATATTTTTTTTTAAATTAAGGTAAAGGGAATTAACTCCACAAGCAGTGGTTGTAAAGTAAACTCATTATTGCACACTTCAGTTTAATAAAACAAATTTTATTTTTAAAAATATCAAAGATCATACGAGTCATTTCTAAAATAAATAAAATTAGCTTAATTTTAAATAAAAGTTTACAATTATTTACTTTATTAACAGAAATATTATAAGGGTTTAAAACAAAAAAAGACCCCATAAAATAAAAATAAAAACATTTTAATATAAAAATGGCACCAAATATTTTTTGAGTAACAAGTTTGTCCAGATCTTATCACTTGAGCTTCATAACAGGGATTTTATTTGAAATGGACTTGGCAGTTCAAGCCAGATAAAAATCCTATATTAAAAACAACACACAAAAAAAAAACACGGTTTGCAACTACATATAATTCAGGCTTGTGGAATAGTAGCTATTTGTTTAGTATCTTCATTTATTTTACATTGAGAAAGTATTTGAAAATTAGAAGTTATTAGATCACAGCAAGTATGATTGCATTACCTTTTCTATGCCATGTAGTTGATAAATTTTAACAGTCATCATAAGCAACATTGAGATGTTTAAAATAAATTTATTTCCCCTTGCTATTACTACTTTAGGTGTAAATTCAATTTCATCGCAATACACATCTCACCTAAAAAACAATATTTTATCACTTAATTTGTTACAAAAGTGAAGCTTGTATTTTAAGGTTTTATTAACGGGAAGGCTTTAGCTTTAATAATTATTATTAATTTAAGCTTACATTTTAATAATTGTTACTAGCGTTGAGCTGATTAATGTGCCAAGACTCAGTTATCAGCCATTTATGAATCAGCTGTTTTTTTTATCAATTATTCAGTCTATCTACCTTTTGATATCAGAAATGCAGCCTAGATCATAGACAAAAACAAATCTATATGCTTTCAATAAAGTGAATGTTTGTACATGCTTTTATCACATTTTGTACAGATTGACAAATATCTATTTTTTTTCTTGATTTCTGAATTATTTTTTAATCATAAATGTTTAAACGTGGACACAGTGACACAAAAATCTTTTTTTTTTTAAATTCAGCACTATGAAGACTTCTAAAAAATTTGGGGATTTTTACTAGCTGTTTCGTAAGACTCCATATGCACCATAATGATATGTCTCATTAGTTCCAATGTTTAAGAGACCTAAACTACACAAGTGCTAAATTAAAAAAAATATTTTTTTTGTGCAAGAAAATCCCTTGTGCGTAATGTGCTGACTTAATTTAAAAAGCCCAGTGAAATTAATGATCCAGGTGAATACATGCATAGAGTCCAGATCAATCTAATTATGATATTATAAATTTATATTTCCGGCCAGAAGATATTTTAGAGAAGGTGGCAAATTTTCATACATATTTTTTTAAAAATCAAATTTTTGAGAAATTTTTCTTTGACCCCCAGATTTGTGATTTATTATGAAATAATTATAGCACCAAACTTACAATCCGGGATGGACAAAACTATAAAAAAGGCTGATTAATTGGTAGTCTGTCCATTTCCTAATCATCACAAGAAGAATTGTTGCATTGTTTTATTAAAATGTTAAAACATCTTCATTACAGATACAGCTGGAATTAGATCTGAGCTGCTCGGTCAATTAGCAAAAATCTAAAAAATATCTATGCACTGGTACGTAGTCCTTGTATACTATTTTGAAATCCAACATCTCTCAAAAACAGTGTGAAACACTTTCGTCTATTTTGGCCCACAAAATTCACCGTCTACTTGACAGGTCAATTTTCACCATACCTGGATTGGCCCAAGTGTACCTATGAATAATTAAAAAAAAGATAGTACCATTACTTTATGCAAATGTTTAGAACCTGCAATAATATCACTCCCTAAATGTTTTATTTTAGTTATAGAAGTTCTCTGGAAAAGAAAGTCACTTCAAAGGGTTTCAGGTTGAAATTATCTCCAATTATGCACACAAATTTCAAAAAATAAAAAACTGTTTGCTTATTAAGTAAATGAGCGTTTGCCAAATGCCAAGTTGTGACTAGGTTCCAGGCCACAAAAGCAAAAATTACCGGGTCACAGAAAGAAGAAAAAAAATGGTAGAAACTCTAGGTTAGATTAAGGTGATGTACTCATTAAAAAACTATTTGTATGTTTGATGTCTTTACCTTCTTGTATGAGTAGAAGCTTTATTATAATAATGAAAACTGTGTGGAAATTCTTATGTTACATGTAGGCCAGTATATGCAAAAAAAAATGTTAGTGGGTAACGAAGGAGAAGTATAAAAATAACCGGGTCATAAAATAGGAAAGTTTGGGTAAGGCGGCTTACATAAATGAAATGAAAATCCTTATTGAACAAAATAAAATGCGAAACAATTATGTATTTTAACACTTACTTGTAACGATTTTTATCTAAATAACTTTGAACAGATGGTTTGATTTTTGGGATGCCATCGGGGCTGTGCTTTCCTCTACCGGTTATTACAAATATAAATGGATCTTGTTTTCGTTGGCCATATTCTGAAAAAATGACCATTGTAGAAACCAAGGGTAACTTTTAAACCTTTAATTTTATAAAGATGTCAAATTTTTTTCACTTTATAACTGAATTCTGACAATAATATTTTAATATTTCATAAATAACGTAATGTGCAAAAGGCTATTAACAAGTTTTTGCATTTAATATATTTCAATACAGTACAATAATATACTTTATTACTTCTTTTGGTTTGGTGTAGATTTTTAAAGGCTGTTCTTACCAAAATCCTTTTCTTGAATAAATTTTGTAAATGCCAGCATGGCATCATTTACTGACAAGTTGTGCAAATCTAATTTCCTCCCAGAACTGAGGGATGTTAATATAAAGTAAAATATATGTTATGGCATAAAGAACAAATTAACAAGTACGAATGGTTTATGTTTTTATTTTAATCATATGCTAGAAAAATAAGGTACTCTTCAAGTTTCTATTTTAAAAATAAAGTTTGTTTTTTAAGTAAATAAATGCAAATATTTCAAGGCAACAATAATTAAAATTACCCTCACATTATCAATCAATAATATTTGCTTATTACAATCGGGACTTTTTAGCTCATGGCTCATACACCGCAACACATACAGTTTGCTAGAGTTAGAATTATATTTATATTACAATTTTTTAAAAGAAATTCCTTTAGATAAATTAAATTTGTACGTTTTCAAAAGGCAAACTCTTAACGCATTTGTCACCAAATTTTCATTTTAAATTTTAGGCATGAAATAAATGTAACATTCATCAAATCAGAAAAAAATATATGATCTAAATAAACCTTGTAAGGTAACTCTCATCTACTTACACAATTCCTTGTTGTCTTTTCCATGGCAGCCCTCTCTCTACATCTGTTTCATGTCTTTGATACTGAAATTACATGGACAATGGACATAGTAGATGTCACTACAAAAATGCCGCTACTTAACAAGTATATTTAAAGATAGAATTTCCTTTCAAATTATTTTAGCCAAATGGGAATCCTTTCAACCTTGAAGCATTTTAACATAAAAATGATCTGACTGTAATTGGATAGAATTAAATTTATTCATATTTAGACACACACACAAATACAGAAATATTTTATTCTGTTTACACAAAGCTGGTCCCATAAACAATTCAAACTAAAAAATTAGACAGTAACAAAGTAAAAAAATACGAGGCAACAAATTCCTTACAATGGTAATATAAAACAGCTTCAAAACATAATTTTTACTTACTGGTACTTTTTGTTTCCTATTACAATAGCAACATACCTGGAAAAATAGTCTCAATTTTAAAAAAAAGCATTTACATTACATAATTTGTAAGTTACAATAGATATTAAGTTTTTCAACAATCATAAGTAACTAGTGTTTGCGAGTTATTATTGTGTCTAGACATGGAGGCCTATGATTTGCTTCATTATTTAGGACAGTATTTTCTTTACATTGGAATAAAATACTCTTTTTCTATTATCAATTTTTTTTTTTTAGTTTTAAAGTAAAGGAGGCCTAACTAGGATTAATGAAAAATAAAATTTTACATTCTTTAATGAAAATAAGTTTTAAAAAACACTGACAATAAAAAAAGTCATAACTCTACTTAGGTGGCTTACATAAACATTGTCGCATGTCTGAGTGTTTGCGGTAACAAATTTGTGACGATGTGTGACAAAAAGTTTCTTATTGGTGTTTCAAATTTTTTATGATCGGGGCCGGGAGGGGGGCATAAATATGCATCAAAGCAGCATGATGTTATTTATATTCTTAAGTACGTTACTTGTGTCCTTATGTTAAGAAGTGACGGAAAGATTATCTTGGTGTCTTATGTGGTATGGTATGCCTTTTGCATATTTCAGATTTTTTTCTTCAAAATTTTGAGCTGGAGTATAAAATGTTAACAATTAAATGACTTTCCTGTCTACAATCAGAGATGTAGTTAAGCATTGTAATGTTTAATTTGCCTAAACCTTTCTTTGGTATTGTAGTGTTACATAGTTTTCAAAGAAAAAAGGAGAAAACTCAGAAAATTGCCCATTTTAATTAATTATAATATTATGCCCTAATGACAACATGCTAATAATAGTTCATAACAGAATATGCCGGTCTGTTACAGTATAAATCTAATCGTTTACTAGGCCTAGATCTATTTCTGTAAAAATGTCAACTGTTAAGATATAAGTATAAGTTTAAAAGTTTATCATATTTATTTTATACATACATAAGCAAAAAATCCAATAAAAGAAAGAAGTACAAGTATTCCAATGATGACATAAACCAATGTATCTGCCATTCCTTCAAAATATAGGCATATCTCCTCTAATCTAGGCTAGACTCAGATGAGATGGTGGACATACACTGCTGCTGAAATGAAGAGATCCCCAAAAATTATATTTGAATTTGAACCATTTTGTAAAGACTTTACACTTTGATATGTATTATGTAAAAAAACGATTTATAATTTCTATATATTATATTTTTGTGTATAGGCATAGGCCACCCTAAAAATACAGACTATACTATAAAAACAAACACTAAGTTAAGACTAGGAGGAGTTTCGTAAGACTAAGACTAAGACACTGAGTTACTAAGACTAAGACTAAGACTAATCACTAAGTAATTAATTAGGTCAATTTAATTTAAATAAATAAAAATAATATATATAGGCCTATTAGATTTCCGGTAATCCCTTATTTTAGTGCGTTTTATTATTTCTACAGAAATAAAATTAAAAATTCATTTTTACCTCATGGAACTACATTAAAACACTTCAGTGGCTACTGTAACATGTATTTATTGTTTTCCAATTGTTTTTTCATGTATTTTGCAGTGGTTTTAAGGTGAAAATTTAATATAAACCATGTATTTACAAAGACTATCGA